GATTTATTTACCTTCTATGGCTATCACTGGAGCTGAGAGCCGGCTTTAGTTCTGAGGCTCGGCTCCAGCTCTGAGACCTCAGCTGCTGAAAGCAGGTATCTGGATTGTTTGGGTTCTATAATTGAAACACTGTTGCGGTCCTGCTGGCTGAAGCCCGGCTGGCTGAAAGCAGGTTTCTGGAGTTTGTTTAGGTTCTATAATTGCAACATTGTTTCTTAGACTGCAGCTCAGAGGCTGGCAGCGGCAGGCTGGGAACGTTGGCTTCCTCCATCACTGGAGCAAGCAAGCCTCCTGTTCGCCTGGCTGCCGGCCACCATCTTGGTTGGCAGTTAATTTGCATATCCTGCTGATTAGCCAATGGGAAGGGTATCAGGGTATGGTCAATTTGCATGTTTCTCTTTTATTAGATAGGATAACTTCTTGCTGAGTGTTAGCTGAAGAAAAATGGAGTTAATGACATAGGAAATGAAGGGGAAAGATTTAAACAAGAATCTTCTAGAAAATAACTATCTTTATTGGATGTATTGTATTAATTCAGAAAGAGCTACCAAGGTCTATATGTAGAGAGAAATAGCATAATACATCTAGACTATTTCAGGTACATTTGTCTCATTTCTAGATTTATAATGATGTTTTTATGAAGAATTCATATGAACACTTCACAAAAAAATGTTGAAAGAATGAGATGGAATAGGGAATAGAAAAGTTTGGGAAATGAATTTATTTTTTATTTAAGGGAATTGATTATAGATACCCTCATAGTATTATAAATCACTCATAGTGATTTATTCAAGTAAATTTTATAATACAAAATATCAGAATGAGAGTGGGAGTTAAAATCAGCTAAGAATATTCTGGAAGTGAAATTAAAATAAGGTTATAGTAGGTTAGATTTTGTCCTCACAAAATCTTTAGAGATGGAACAGTTCTTAGATATTATCTAATTCATCTCAATCCTGACTATTTATTTGAGTAATATATATAAGAAAACAACCCAAAATTTAAAAAATCACATTTCTTATAGGCCATACAAATCCCCTTACTTAATGCAGTGATCTTATTGAATTACCCTAATATTTTAAATATCCCATCATTGTTTTCATACTTATTTCATTTTTATTTTTGGTAATGTGATCAGATGGCTATAGAGGGGCATCATATAAAATTATTTTCAAAAAAATGCCTTATAATGTTTTATAGTAAAAATATAACTGGTACAGTAAAAATATTGTAAAAAACAAAATATTATAAAATCCAACTACTCATGTTCAGGATTATTTTTTGATCCCTCAGAAACCCTGTTTGAGAAATGTTGCCTTTCTACCGATCTTTCTACACTCCCGATAATATTTCTTAAAATATTAAGAAATATTCAAAAGAATTCCATTCTAGATAAATCTAGTTAATCACTGGTCCCTACTGTAGGATATTTTTTCTGCTGTTGGAAGGTAAAGTAGAATGAAACTGAGTGAAAATAAAAGTAATACTGTTTCTGGCTTTCTACTCTGCCTAAGTAGATTTTGATGGGTTTAAACTTCACCGAGAAAAATAACGTATTTTAGAATTTTACTCATTTTTAGTTTTCCCTTAACATTTTGATGTCTTACTTTTCTAGGGTTTTGAAAGTGTTTCTTTCGCGAACAGCCCAACGGATTCCATATATGACTGGTGGCCGGGTTATGAGGATGCTGGCGGTAATACTCCTGGTAGTATTTTGGTTTCTTATTGGCTGGACTTCGTCTGTTTGCCAGAAATTGGAGAGGCAGATTTCACTTATTGGCCAAGGGCAAACATCTGATCACCTCATCTTCAATATGTGCCTCACGGAGCGCTGGGATTACATGACAGCAATTGGTATGTGGTCTCTTGTTTTGTGTGATGATCTTGTCCTCTTTTCCAGTGGCATTAAAATAAACTTCTTTAGAAACCTCGTGAAACCATTTCACAAAACCTAAAGGAATTTTACCTAATATGGTTTTGGTAAAACAATATTATGAAAAGGACAATAATTATATATGGAATGACAATGTTTTCTGAAAGTTTCCATTCTTTTTCAAAGGTATGTAGCTTTGTTGCGAAAATGTAGTCAAGTAAATCAGGGAGGAGGTACGCAGTTAATAAAGGCAACTTCAACTTTTTTGCATAGAAAGACTGCTTTCCATCTTATCAATATGTTCTCATTTGATTAACAGTAGCCATTCTCTTGAGTTATTTCTTTGGTTGGGAGAAAAAAGAAAACATGCTGGTATTTTTTGTATAGTTTGGCCCTATGAGATATCAAAGTTAGTGTCCTAGAAACTACAGGAACACCTTAGTTTCAATAATATGCTTTTCATGCAGTGACAAAATTCTCTTAAAAACAACAACAAATCAAGACACGATTTATCTAGTTGTCTGTGTGGTGGTTGCCAGAGGAGGGGGGGGGCGGGCGGTGGAGGGGGGAGAAGTAGGAAGGGTAACAGAGGGCTAAATGGTGATGGAATGAGATTTGACTTGGCATAGTAAACATACAATACAGTATGCAGATGATGTATTGTATAATTGTATACCTGAAACTTATATAATTTTTTTTAACCAATGTCATCCCAATAAATTAACTAAAATTTAAAATAAATAAATGCTGCTGTAAATTTATCAATATGCTTCATATTTACAAAATTAAAAGCAAGGCAATAACTTTTTACTAGCTAATTGTCTTTGAATTAAAATTAAAATTTTCCTATTTTTAAAAAAGACACATTATTTAACAGTAGGAAAAGGTACTTGAAATTAGGACTGTCTTGAAAAATCAGAGACATATGGTTGCTGTAATTTTTTAAAACTGCCTTACAGCAATTTCATTTACTTACCTTTCAGCATGTAGCATTTGATATTCTGTATTTAATCACTCTTTAATGTTTTCTAATGGGTAGCATATGCCTCTTTGCAGTTCTCTTTATATATTTCTATAAGTTGCATGTTTACCACTAGATTTTTTATAGTCTGGTTCTTATTCAAGAATAAATTCATATATCTTCAGTCGGCCAAAAAGCAACCTGTACTGAAAGCTAAATTGTTCCTTGTTTCCTAAGCGGACATGTTTCTATGTAGGGGAGATGCTGTGCAGAGGGAGCAGGTAGGTTTATCTTGAGATTGTGGGATTTTTTTGTCAAGAAGCTGTGTATGCTTACATTTGTAAGCATATGAAGTCAATCTATAAAAAAAGGAAGAGTGAATATTATTGTCACTAATTTCATTTTAATGGTAAAAGTGTATGTTCATATTTGGAGAGGTGTTTTTGAGCAAATCATATAAACTAAATTGGAAATCCTCATATACATTGGTATATTGATAAGCATGCAATCCTAATATATTGATAAGCATGCACTCTGGGTCAGCTATTCCTGTCAAAAACAATTTTTAATACAAAATAAAGAACTATTTGAAAGAATGCAATACTAGTATTTCCACTTAAATATAACTTGAGTTAGAAATATGGGTAATAATTTTTTAAAATTAGCCCATTCTATTTTTGCTTACTGCTCCAAATCTGCTCAAATAGTGATTTTCTTGCCATAGTGCTAATGAAGAAAACAGCTTGGGAAAATCTCTGAGCCTCTCTGAACTTCAGTTTCTTCTTTAAAGAAATATTTGAGAACATAAAAAAGGGAATAAAAATGACTTTCAGAATTCCATTGTTATTTATGTGTATCTATAATTTTTAATATTTATTGTTTGTCCTATATAAAAAATATGAGGTGAGCTTTAATAGAAAACAAACAGACATATAAACATTGCAACTATGGAAGACAGATGAATATTGGACAATGTGAGAAGCGCTTTACAGTAGTCTGGTGGTTTTTTACTGGTTTTCCTTTATCTGGTGGAAAAAGAATTTCAAAATTGAATGTTCAGAATATTTCTAGATTGGACTAGAATTCCTATAGAGACTTAACTGTCATCCACTATTCATTATATAACTCAGCACTTTGAATTTTTCTGAGTTTGTTTAATATATTATTTGTAGCTCACTGAAGGCAAAAGAAAGAATTCTTACATCTGCTCAGCCCTCTTTTCTCTCCCAACCTAGTAACTGTGCTCCTCAGCAATATTTACCAAATTGTTCACACTGTGTTCCTAACACCTAACAAAGTGTCTGTTACTTGTAGGCTCTTGATAAGTATTTTCTGAAAGAATAAAAAATGAGCTCAACTCCCTTTATCTTGTGTATTTTCTATGCTCAGAATTAGACCACTGTAAGGAAACATGTTAAATCTAAAAATCCTAGAGTAACACAATTGTCACTAATTTCATTTTAATGGTAAAAGTGTATGTTAATATTTGGGGAGGGGTTTTTTTTGAGCAAGTTATATAAACTAAATTGGCAATCCTCAGCTCTTTTATGAAAGTTTACCTCTGACTTGTCCAATAGTCAAAATAAGAGATTGATACCAATTTGGTATGGCAAATCAGAATTGCCATTTTAAAAATATTTTATAATGCATTTATAAATATTAAAGTAGAATAAAACTGATTTGCTTTTCTATCTATCAAATTTGCCTTTATTATTAGTAGTAGTAATAGTAGTAGTAGTGGTGGTAGTAGTAGTGGTAGTAATAGTATTTGAATCCTCACCTGAGGAGTGAAGATATTTATTTTATTTGTAATTAAATCTTTATTGTTTAAAGTATTACATATGTCCCCTTTTCTCCCCCATTGACCCCTTCTAGCCTATCCCCATCTCCTGCCCAAGGCTTTCACCACCCTATTGTTTGTGTCCATGGGTTATGCATATATACATACAAGTTCTTTGCCTGATTTGCTTATGATAAAAAAAATATTTTTCACCATTCTCCTAATTAGAGCTATGTAAAGAGTAAAGAGGTTGATTCTAGGAAACATTGTCCTAATTAATAGAGAAAGCAAATAAATATCCCAAGTCATACTCATTCTGAAAATTATTGATTGTAGAATTACCAAGGTTTTTTTTTTGTTTGTTTGTTTGTTTATTTGTTTGTTTCTAAATCAAGTTATCCTAATTGGTAAGTTGGTAATCATTTGTCCATGTTCAGGATATTTTAAAATAGAATTAAATTTGTCATATTAAAAAAGGTAAAACAATTGGCTGGTACAAATGAATAAATGAGTAAAATTAACTTCTCATGCATGAATTAACCTTTATAATTTCACCCCTAGATTCAAGAAGACCACATCCCCACACCTAGATTTAGAGTTGACAGCAGGGTACCTAAGTATAGGGCTTCCACATTTGGAAAACAGAAATTTAGTAGTAGCCGTGGTGATACAGTAGAGTTTATTCTTTAGTATATTTAGTTGGTTAGCAGTCAATTTCTGACTTCTCATTCAGAACATAATCTAAACTTACTGTCCAGCGAGCAAGATACATTAGAATAAGTGGGCAAATTCTTAACTTACAGGAAACAACAACGCTGCAGAAAAATGAGTGATAGGTGGTGACATCAGGGACATTTAGGACTCTGCTCTAAGTCTGCCATGGCTATGTCTCTGTGTCCAAATTCAGTGTAGATCTAGGCAAGCACTGAGATGCCTCCTCAGTTTCTTCCAGAAGTTATGTGATGATATTCTTATATGATAGAAAAGGGATATAAATGAGAATAAAGCTATTTTGCTGCTTTCTCTAACCAAGGACAAGAATTTATACAAAAGTTCTATCCAGGTTTCCATTCTTTCCTTTATCTTCTCTTAGCCAATATATCTTTCTATGTCACTAATTTGGCTAACTCTTCTTGACTGCATTTAGATGATCTAATCATGACTAGTCCCTGACAAGAACTCTTTTATAAATTAATATTGCCCTTCATCATTTCATACTTGTGAAAAGTTCACCAATACATGAGGTATTTGTAGTTTCGGAAACTCCACAGAGCTCAACACCCCTTGCTATATATTTTATTCACTAAGTTTGAAAGAAAGACACAAATAAATCTAAGCAATAATTATACAGGTATGATAGGCTTGTTTTCACATTCCATTTAAGAATTTTAAAATATTTATCACTTTCAGGATATAACAACATTGATTACCCCACTGTTCAAAAGTACTAATTAATTTCTATGAATTTTACATGGAATATTTTTACTAGATAAAATAATCCTATATAATAAAACCCTAATATGCAAATTGACTGAAAGGTGGAACAACTGGTCGCTATGAAGCGCACTGACCACCAGGGTGCAGACGCTCAATGCAGGAGCTGCCCCCTGGTGGTCAGTGTGTTCCCACAGGGGGAGTGCCACTCAGTCAGAAGCTGGACTCATGGCTGGTGAGCACAGGGGCGGTGGCAGGAGCCTCTCCCACCTCCACTGCAGGCGGATGGTAAGGAGTGAGAGGGGTCCTAGATTGCAAGAGCCCTGGACTGTGAGAGGGATGTCTAACTGCCAGCAGGCAGACATTCTTCGAGGGGTCCTGGACTGCCAGAGGGCGCAGGCCGGGCTGAGAGACCCCCTCCCCGCAGTGCACGATTTTCGTGGACCGGGCCTCTAGTATCTTTATATTTCTGTTCTTCATTGACATGCTCTCCTTGTTTATTCCCCTCCTTCCTGGTAAAATATTTTAAACACACAAAACAGACAATGTGTTTAGTATCTTAATTAGTAACATGTAAGTGTTTATAAGAAACTGAGAAGAATACAGTGACTCTTACTGAGTTATATAGGGAAATTCTAAAATAGCAATTGTTTCTAAGGATATAAAAACTTAATTATCCTAGAAGATTAGGCCATGTTATGACATGTGAAATGCAATATAAGCACCATTTTATGAGTATTGGAGAAAATAGATTTAGAATTTCTCACCAGCTGACTTAGTTTAATGTTCATTATTCTAATGTACCA